GTTCATCATGTAAAGTCAAACTTCCTTCATCTTCTCACATATTTGCATTTTTAATTCTAAAATCCACCAAAAAATTTAAATTTATACTTCTCTTTTACATGTTTATTTGTTTAATTTTAAATCTATCATTTTTTATTTCTCTTAAATCCCTCAATATTTTCATCCATGTTATATGTTCAAATGATGGGGCTTTTCATTTAATTGTCTTCTCACATATTTTCAATATTTTTATTTAATTATTTTACTAACTTAAATCCCTCAATATTTTCATTTAATTCTCACATTATGTTGCATTGATGTTAACTTGTACAATTCACCATGTTTCATGCAAGATCATAGGGCTTTTCTATTAATTGCATTGTTCCATGTTTATGTGATATCATTTTGTTAAATTACCTTGTTTACATGCCTAAAACTCCAAAACTGATTTTTTTCCCTCTAATCATGTGATTTTGATTCAATTTTTTTGTAATTTTTGAGTAAAAATTTTATATGCAATTTCAAATGATGTCATGTCCAAAAGTATCAAAATCGAGAGCCATATATGACCCTTATGGAAATTTTTTAAATTTCTTGATGTTATGCATGTAAAAGTGATACATTTTGATGAAAACCATAGGTCTTTTTTTTATTCTTTGCTCATGTATTCCATCCTTAATTTGATAAAAACAAAATTAACTCTTGATAAAATGATAAAACTATAAAATTGAACCCCACTAAAATGATAAAAATAAAACTTAAATTCATTTAATTACATTCTAATTACCCTTAATCACCTTAACCAAAACTTTAAAGTGAATTAAAATATTTTTAATAACCTAATTAATCCACTAATTGTATTTAAACTAATATTTAAATAACTTAAATTATGTGGTCAAAAATAGCAGGCTGCTAATTATTTTACTAACTTATTAATTAAGTTAATTAACTTACAAATTAACTAATGAAGCTATAAAAGTTATTAATTAATTAATTAAAGTGTTAATATTTATTTAAAACATTAATAATTTAAGTGAAATTTAAGCAAATTCAATTGAACCATTATAACATAGTTTAGTAATAAAATTACTTAATTAATTTAATTAATTAACATTAACCTATAAAAGCCTTAGTAAATTTATAAAGATTTTAAATTAATTAAAACTTAAAATTTAAGTCAATAAATAAATAATTAAATAATTAATCAATTCATGTAACAAAATATAATTAAACATTAAACTTATCTTTCCTAAATTCTAAATTAAGAAATATGTGTATGCTTAAGAGAAATATGTATGTGTATGTTGTTTTGTATGCCTACGTAATATATAACGTGTGTGCATATGAACACACACACACACACACACACACACACACACACATATAAACACATACTTAAAGAGAGCCCTATGGCTATTTCATGAAGAATAAAGCCATGTTTAAAAAAGAAGAAATCAAATATGATATGTAAGTATAATATTTCCGAGTATGAAATCTTAGACCACACCTGTTGAAAATACTGAGAAAGATAAATAAGAAAATTGAGGATGGGAAATTGAGTGTAAACCCTAGAAAATTGTGAATCTTTGGAATAACTGACACCCTAAGAACTAAAACTGAAAAACCCTAAAAGAACCTTGATTTGTCTTCATAACTAATAAACTTTAAAATTAAACAAACAACTTATTAAAAAGTAAACCCCTCAAATAATTAAAATCAACCAACTCTAATTTTTCTCAAATATTGAACCTTACGATAGTCAACATAGATGAAAACCTAGGATCACATATATCCTAGATTAGTCTAGTCTAGAAGCCATATGTTAGTTACTAGGCACTTAATAGATAAAATTAAGGATTAGGACATATAAAATAAAATAGCTTACCCTTTGGACTATAAGAGTATTCAATAATGATGTAGCTCGTGCTATGAACACAGATACTTAAAACCACTTTATAGCGGAAAGGATTACCTTTAGTTTTTGCTATGACGATAAGGGAGACCTCTTATTATTCTATTTGTCAATAGTCTAAGGCTATTTATGTAAGCGAGATGATATAAAACTATGGGCATCTTGACCGGGCGTGTTTTTCTAAAATTTAGGTTAGTCTACCTATAACCTCTTGTTTTGAGATATTTAGTTTAAGGTTTCACCTCTACCTCGAAATCCTTACCCTTTACTACCCTTTAGACTATGATGTGTCTCAATTCAATTATATCAAAATAAACTCAACTTCACTCTACCCAATTCAAATCAAATCCACACCTATTTAAATCAGACCCATTTCAGTTCATTTCAGTTCAAAAATTTATCTCTCATACTTGAATCTCTAATTCAAGCTTTATAATATCAATTTGACTCTCATTTATTGTGCTCAACCCTAGGGGTAAAGAAGTTTTAATGCTCAAGTGAAGCAACCCATTATCTAAGTCTACCCTTTTATTTATGTCCTTAAAATCTATTATCTCACATACATTTATTGATAAATAAGAGAGATATAATGCATAACTTTAATCAAAAGTAATCTTAGGAGTTATTCTTGAGAAATAATTAACTATGAGGGAGGCCTGACATGGGGATACCAAACCCTAGAATAAAATAAAGTTTATCTTACACCAGTATGGTAAGGGAAAAATTCTAGTTTTGCAGATTAATAAATCACAAAGATTTTCATCATTCAAATGATTAGATCCATTGTAAGGTAATTTTTCTATTATTTGGAATAATATATTATTCTTCAAATATGGCATCTGATCATTTAGATATAAATATTTTGAGGCCTATAATGAACTCAACAATAAAAAAAACACCATATAGGCTCCCCTTTGGGGCCAAGTGAACATCATTAAAGAAAAATAGGAGGATGGGTACATCACTTGGGAGTGAATGCAGCTAACAAATTTCCTCTATTCAATGCCTCTTCTAACTGGCTTGTGGGGATGAATCCACTCCTTCAAAAATAGTGGGTACCACCTCAACTATAAGAATGTTGTTTGTCAAGCTCATTTGGGACTTCCATTACTGTGGCTTTTCCTTGCCTTTGAGTCATTGCCCCTATAGCCATGAACTCCTTGAGCTTACCTAATAAAACTAACTGCTCATCAGACTCTAGAGATATCTGCATTCCTTCGTGTTGTGGTCGTGGCCCCTGTGGTACTTACAATACTTGTTGGTGTTCTGAAGGAAGCTCCAACCTTCATTAGTAGTGCTTTCTTGAAGTATTCCTTTTCTTGAATAGCTTCTACTAACTCAACCATTGACACTCTAAAAGGAGTGGCCCTCAGGTTCTTGTGATTGTTAGAAGGTTGCTCATAATGTTGAGCTGGCCACTGGACATAGGTCATGGCTTCTCACCTAACCTCTTTACTGATGTTTTTGGTCAGTTTGTTTGTTGTCTCGAGGTGGCTGACTGTCTTCATACTAAAGACTTATGGAAGGTGTAAGTTCTCCTTAGGCATCTACTCATTGTTCTGTTCAGAGGACGTTGATATGATAATTCATGTTTATGGTAGAGTTTGATGACATTCTCTTTGGTAGGTAATGTGTTTATTGGCCATCTTCAACATTTTAGTTAAGTTTTTCGACTCCATCACACCGAGGTCATATCAAAATCTCTCTCCCCTTTTGCTTTAGGTAAAGGTAGCATGTTCCTGCCCGGTATCCAGGTCCCTTACCTTTAACATCTCTTTTCTGGAATCACATGATGTAAGAGCGCAAGCTCTCATTTTGCCCTTGCTTAAATTGCCATAGGGCATGTGAGCACTTCTTAGGTTTTTGGTTGCTGACAAAATGCTCCAAAAATATTCTCTTAAAATCAACAAAACAGATGACCAGTCTCACTGTCAATCCATTGAACCATCTGAGTCCCGTTGCCCTCAAAATGGTAAAAAAAACAAATAATATTTAGTGCGTCAAAGACTCAGAGAAGATAAATGAATGATTCAAACAATGCAAGGTGGTCTATCAGATCACTCCAACACTTATAAGAATCTAGTGATGGGACTTTGAATTTCTTAGGGGGTTTAGCTCTGAAGATCTGAAGAGAGAACACATTCCTTAGCTGGTGTGGGGAGTCAGCGCACCCGAATTGCTACCTATCCACCAGCGCGAACCCACCACTATCCTCGTATTGTGAATCTCCGACCTTCTCTATGCCATAATTTGGCCTTTTGCCATTATGCACCAGCTCTTCTTCCCAAGGGCGGTTATGCTCTCATTGGACATGTTCCCCTCATTAAGCCATCACGGCTCTGTGAGCTTCTATAGTCTGCCCCACTATTTGATCCCTCAGCTCCTAAATCTCTCACTTTACGAGTCTCTCTACAACTCTTTAGTGCAATCGATGTCTATTGCGTCTCACAAGTGACTTTATTCTCCTTGTCATGATTCTCTTTTTATTGCTGGTGTGAATTCATTATTACTGCACCTTTTAAGATGTTAAATTCGAAACTATATGAGAAACACACTCAAGTAATAAAGCGTTTAACTGGAATGAGAAATACAGAGAGAACAAAACAATGAAGACTAAGAATGTGTAATCTTTATTCGATAAATGATCCCCTATTATCGGTATAGGGGGTATGATTGTGAAATTACATATATTCCATTGCTCAATTAGAAAATGAGGGCTATTATAGAATTTTGAATACATAGACCGATGTTTATGCGGCCCTTTTCGATTGGTTCGCGCATTAGATCAACCCCACCGATGAAACTGAGTTTTGGGGGAAAGTGAGTCGAGAGTAATGGCTCTCGACTGGGTCAGGATCCATCGGGTTGACTTCCCTATCTTCATCAAGTGGATCAATATCGACTATTCTACCGATCATTTTTTTTAATTACGAGACTTACTGATCATTGATCGACTATTCTATCGATCATTTTTTTTAATTACGAGACTTACTGATCATTTCTTTTTAATTAAGAGACTTGTTCACGGACCATCAAATTTTCTTAAAATTTGTGCTCACAGATTTTTGATATTGAATTTGCCTTTTACCCATTGTATTTGGAACAAATAATTCTCACGCCCAATTCTCAGCTTTTTAACATCCAAGCGCTTCACCTCGTCGGAGCGCCTACATTTACATTTCCTTCGTCCGATGGCACGATTCTTATCCCGAACCCTAATCCGCGAATCGCAATCTGTAGGCCGTGAGCTTTCGCCTTCCAGTCATTGCTTAGGCTACGTCGGACCCGGCGTTGTCGTGCGGCCGCTGCCTTGGCGCTTCGTGGGCGTTCGCCTGCGCTCTGACCGGCCGGAGGTTGGGCAGCTCATTGAAGTAGAGCTCGGCCAGGGGACAGACTCTACAAACGTGGAGGTGGAGGTCCTTAGCTTGCGGAGGCTGGAGGACGCGATCCAGGTACTTGTCATACAGAAATCGGCCCCGGCATGGATCCCCTTCGTCCCTGGATCCTCTTACTGGGTTCCTCCGAGGCCTCGCGGCCATGGCTTCGAACTTGGGGTTATTGCACGTTCTGAGAAGTCACTCACCGAAGAGGAGGCGCTCTCTCGTACCACCCGACGTGGGTGGCCTTCCTCTTCGTACTTCGTTGATGGTAAGGGATGGAATGCTCGTATTAATTGATTGATGTTTTTTCTCTTTTGATTTAATGCCATATGGAAGCAATCGGCTTGAAGTTGGGTTCACGATTTGATAAATGGATTTGATATTCCAAATTTGAGGCATGTAGTTAATGTTATCATTCCAGGCTTGTTTGTGAAGAAGTGCTTTGTTTATTTATTTCGCCTCATGCTACTTTTATAGGAATCAATATTATTTTTTGGACTATTTAAGGGCTGTTTATGATAGTATGCTGTCGGATGCTTAGTTGTTGTATTAGGTTAATAAGAGTAATTAATTAGTTTGTTAATATTGTATAACTAATTTGTACATTTATAAATAACCTTCATTTGGAGACATTGGGCAAATGAAAAGATAAGGTAAGGTTCTTCTCTAATCTGTGTTCTTCTCTTTGATTTTCCCTCATGTAATTTCTGGATTTGCTTATCATTCCTGAATTGTTGTTTATTGTGATATTTGAAATGGGATCATATTAATGGTGCTTATGTCGAAAAGTCTCTTTCACTTCATCGCGTCCTCATCGTGTCCTCCCCACACAATCCGACTGCATTACCAATGTTATCCTCAAACAGGTGCTTATAATCCCCGAATTGTTTTTTATTGTGATCTTTGAAATGGGATCATATTAATGGTGCTTATGTTGAGAAATGTCTTCCCCACATTTGTCTTCGCCCCACACGATTTGGCTTCGTCACCAAGTCATACTTAAAAGGTTTTTCTCTTTCACCATCTCATTATCTCATCCATGATTGCTAGCTCTTGTTATTCTCCATCACATTTTGCATTGGCGTCGCAAAACACTCAACCCTCTATCCAAGCTTGCGCCCCTTCTTCCCACAGTCCTATTAGGTTTGTCTCCAACCTTCAAGATTTCATTGCGAAGCCTGCTATTGCCATTCTTTCCATTCAAGATTTGGCTCTCTTAGCATGATTTGATTTCGCCTCCATTCAAGTTTGTTCTCCTTTTTGCTATCCAACTCTCTTGTCTGCTGGTCTACACTCAACATTGTGAATCCACACACTCCATTAAGATTTGTCTTCCAGTCCTGCACTAGTTTTATTGGGATTTGCATCGATCTTACATCCAAATCGATCTACACCCTCCCTTGTCATTGGAGCCACCAGGTCCTTCTCCACTCCCTTGCTTAAATGGCTGCTTTCAGGCAGATATGGCCTCGCTAGATCTCGTAGGTCACCGTCACCTCCTCAAGGTGTCAAACCACTTTTCGTCTCTATTGTTGTTACATTTTTTTCGCCAGACACCACCAACTCTACTCTCCCTTCAGAAATGTTCTTTTTGGCAATCATCTGATAGATGATCAAATCAAACATAGCAATCCTTACGGGAAAGAACCTCATCCATCAACATATGTTGGCTCTCCTTATCCACCTCTTCAATAATCTACCAATCCCCTAATATTTCGGTAATAGATGCTTTAAGAAATATTCAGTTAAGACGAGAAAGTTTGAGTAAAACATATCTAGATTGGCTCTGTTTTCAACTTCTTCCTTTTTCCTACGATCGACGACTCTCCACCATCCCACCTTTTCGTATTTTTGTGTCTTTCTCAACCTTGTGGGTAAGGTGTTTTTGAAGGGATTGATAATGATAGTATACTGTGGGATTGTTAATTCTTGTATTAGGTTAATAAGAGTATTTAATTATTTAATAATAATGAATAAGAATTCTTATACATCTATAAGTAGCCTCCATTTTGAGACATTGGGATGAATGAAAAGCCAAGGTAAGTTTCTTCTTTATGCTGTGCTCTTTTTTTACTTCTCTCCCATCAAATTTCTGGAGTTGCCGACATCTTCGAATTGCCATTTGTCGTGATCTCAGAAATGATATCATATTAGTTCAGCTACAAGTAGGATTCAGTAACTCTTATAAATCCATATTTAGTGAACCTTGATAGGTTTAAAATCTATAAATTGTTTGGCATGATTAATGTTGAATCATGCTGTTTACTATTTTCTTTGGGATTTGAATCTTTCAATTCTTATGAATTGCATATTTAATAAATTTTTGATTTAACCAATTGTTAGCTTGAAATTGAATTTATTAGAACTATGGAATTTTAAGTCCCCAAAATTTCTTTTGGCAAGATTTAAAGCTAAAGCTTGCTTAGATCTCAAGTGTACCAAACAATCTCTACTTTTTTGTTTGGATTGGATTTCTTTGAACTAATTTACTTGAGTGAATTCACTGCATAGCTAGTCATTGAAATCCTATATTTTATGTTTTGGTATATATTTCTACTGGTTTTGTTTACTTTTTACTCAAAATTTGATTGGTTGTAAAATAATTTATTATACAGAAAATAAATATGGTCAAAATTTTGATTATTAGTTTTGTCCATTGAAATGGAGTATATTAGAAAAGTCTTAGTACATTCACTTGCTATGCATTTGATTTATTGCATTTAGATGTAATTAGCTCAAACACTGTTATCGGAGGGTCCAAGTTCCAGATGTGAAAAGTGAAGGATTGTGTTAGATAGTCGATAGTCAACATTAAATTTATCGAAAAATCATGACATGATTCCTTTTAACTATTGTGTAAATGTTATGGCGTTCTCTGGAAGTGACACGCTATATGATCTGAATACAATGAAATGTGTGCAAATGCTGCTACACCGGCGTTCGGGGGTAGTGTCAAATAAGCAAAAGTTTCCACATGATGGATGGATACGGGTAAAGAAGTTAGTCCATGAAACTAATATTATGATATGATTTTAGAATATAAGTACTCAAATCTATAAATTAATGGAATTAGATGATATTATGATTCATAGAAAGATAAATATCTTATTCATTCAAGAAATCAAATGGGTCGGAGAAAAGACTAAGGAGATTAATAGCTTAGGTTTTAAATTGTGGTATTCAGGTAAAAGCCGCACTAGAAATGACGGTGTAATTATATAAGATTTTGAAAGATAATGTTGTAAAAATTAATAGAATTGGGGATTGAGTTATAGTCTTTAAGATTGTTGTTGATACTAAGATTTTTAATATTATAAGTATTTATGCTCCTCAAGTAGGTTTAGATATATGTTCTAAAGAAAAATTTTGGAATGATCTAGAAGATTTAGTACAAATGATACCTCTTGAAGAAAAATTTTTTTATTGGAGGAGATTTAAATGGAAATGTCAGTAGAGTGGTAGAATCTTTTAGAAATATTCATAGTGGCTACGGTTTTGGAGTGATTAATGATGTAGGTAGAGCTATATTAGATTTTACTGTAACGTATGATTTTGTTATTACTAATATGTTATTCAAGAAAAGAGATGAGTAGAGATGAGTATATTATTACTTATTATAAGAATGAATCTAATAATACACAAATAGATTATTTTATTATGAGAAGAGATCATCGAAAATATAAAGATTGTAAGATCTTTCCAAGTGAATTTAAATACCCAACATCGATTACCAATTCTGGATTTCAAGATGATGAGTTGTAAACTAAAGAATATTAGGCACAATTCTCATATAATTAGATAGGGGCACCTAATAGACACAAATACAATTATTTTAAAGAGTAAATTTCAAGATTTCGAGATTTGAAATGTTCATGAAGAAGCAAATTCTATGTGGGATAAAGTAACAAACACTGTTAAACAAGTGACAAAAGTTGTAATTGGAGAATCAAAGGAAAATTTTTTATAAAAAAATTATTGGCGGTGGAATAAAAATGTGTAAAAAATGATAAAATATAAGAAGTTATGTTATAAAAACTGGTTTAGATGTAAAAGCTTAGAGAATTGAGAAAAATATAAAATGGTTCATAGGAGTCTAAGAGAACAATTTGTAACGTTAAAAATTCTACTTTTAGTTATTTTTATAATAGATTAGATACTAAAAGGGTAAAAAATTGTTTATAAACTAGCCAAACAAAGAGAAAATAAAAATGATGATTTAACTCAAATAAAGTGTATTAAAGATGAACATCAAAATGTGCTTTTCTTAGATAAATATATTTAACATAGATGAGTGAGTTATTTCGATAAACTTTTTAATGAAGTTTCTGAAAATACGATCGACTGTAGTGATCTTAATATCCCTAATAATAATAAAATATTTCATTTTTACCATCGCATTAGTTAAAAAGAAGTTGAGAAAGTTTTAAAAAAAAACCATTGTCAAGGGTGAAAAATTTGTATGACCTGATGATATTCCAATTGAAGTTTGGAATATTTAGGTCAGTTGAGAGTTTCTTGGCTTACTAAACTCTTTAATATTATTTTAAAAACTAAAAAAGATGCCCGAGGAATGGAGGAAGAGTATTTTAGTCCCCATTTTTAAGAATAAAGGGGATGCACACGAGTGTGCAAATTATAGAGGAGTTAAGTTGATGTGTCATACTTTAAAATTATAGGAGACTTTAAATACTTTAAAATTATAGGAGAGGATAATTGAACATATGTTAAGACTTATGACAGATTTCTCATAATCAGTTTGAATTTATTCTGAGCAAGTCTGTTATGGAAGCTATACATTTATTGAGAGGTTTGATGGAGAAGTACAGAGAGATTAAGGAGGATCTACATATGACTACATATGATTTTTACATATGATTTTTATTGATTTAGAAAAAGCTTACGATAATGTTCCAAGAGATATCCATTGGAGAGTTTTAGAGAAGAAATGCATTGATATGACTTATATTCAAGTCATTAAAGATATGTATACTAGAGCTGTTACTTGTGTTCGAACAGGAGGATTGACCAAATATTTTCCTATTTCTATTGGATTACATTAGGGATCGACTTTAAGCCCATATTTTTTTGTTTTAGCTATGGTTTTAGTTTTGGATGCTCTTATTAGACATTTACTGGAGGATATATCTTGGTATGTGATTTTCGCTAATGATATCCTTTTTTGTCGATAAGACTAGAGAAGAAGTTCAGGAAAAACTTGAATAATGGAGGTCAATATTGGAGTTTAAAGGCATTTGGTTGAGTAGAACT